TCCCAGCCTTGGTGTTTCGTTCCAACCTGCAAAAGGCAGACTGAGAGGACGTGGTCTGACCCTTCCTGGTCTCTCCCCACATCAGGGTGATTGATGGCCACAGTCTGCTGCCTTTGCTCCAGGGGTCTGTCCAGCACTCAGCCCATGAGTTCCTGTTTCATTACTGTGGCAAGCACCTCCACGCCGCTCGGTGGCACCAAAGAGACAGTGAGTATGCGCCCCTGCCCGCCACGGTCAGCGTGGATCCCGTGTGTCCAAGGGTAGAGCTGAAAAGGGTCTTTTCCTGGACTCAAAGAGGGTGGAGCCTGGGGCTGGGCCATTGTATCAGTCAAGGATTTTCAGAGAAGCAGTCATATGTATGTATATACCCACAGAGCCATGTATATATGTCTATGTGTGTGTATATATGTCTATGCATACACACACACACACACGTACACGTAGGTGTAAGCCTCATTGGCTTTATGACCTGTTAACTCATCTAGACCAGGAGTTTGAAGGTGGAGCTAACCCTTTGCCCATGTGCTATTGAACAGATCACATTTATTTCCATTTCTGTAAGGAATACTTAGAGTAATTTTAAAACAGGGTGTTAAAGGGAGGATTGCCACCTCCATGCAGGACACCTGGCTTCCTTTTCCAGCCAGTGCACTTAATGCGTAGCCCCCACCCTCTGTCAGTGGAGGCTTGTAAGTTTTTGGGAGTCCTGGTTATGAGATCATTCAGCTCCTGGCTGCTAACCCAAAGGTGACATGCAGATCCAGCCAGTGACTGAGTGGGAGAAAGACGCAGCAATCTGTTCCCGTGAAGATTTCAACCTAGGAAGCTGTCCTGGTTCCCTAGGGCCGCTCTGACAGGAATATACCACAAACGGGATGGCCTTAACAAACAGGAGTTTATTCTTACAATTTGGAGGCTTTAAGTCCAAGTGCAGTGTGCCGGGTTCTAGGTGCTGTGTAAAAGCCCCTCAACCTCGGGGTCCAGCTCTGCCTCCTGCTCCCGGCCCACTGGAGCTAGAGGCGTTTCTTCACTCAGATGGCTGCTGAGGCTGAGAAGCCCAAGGTTGACAAGGAAAAAGGCACAGTCCCGATGTGACCAAACCACACGGCGGCCATTAAGTCCATTGTAAGTCCCCAGGTCAGCAGGGCATGGCAGGCTGCTTGAGCAACAACACAGCTAAATGCAGTGAGTGCCACAGGCTAGAGACCATTCCCAAGCTTCTCCTTATATACGGGAAGCAGACCACATCCCAAAGGCAGCTACTCAACTGCTTGTGGTAGATCCCACCATGGAGTTGATTGCCCGTCTCATCATGGGGAATAGCTACCACCAGCTGCCCAGCCACTCAGCCAGGCCCAGCCAGGTTGACACACAAACAGAACCATCACAGAAGCCCTCTGGGAGGTTCAGCCCTATCACATAGGGTCAGTCGGGATTGGAGTTGACTTGGTGGTGCCCCACAACAGCGTGGAGCTGAGCAGATCTCAGTGGAACTGCGAGACTCAGAGGGACAAGGGAGAAAGGTCTGGGAAGTTAGGGCTGAAGGTTACCCAACGGGGAGAAAGGAAAGGCCTCTGTGCACGGCCAGGGTCCCGTGTGCAGCCAGTCGGGGGCCTGGGGCAGAACCAGGTGGCGTTCCGGTCCATTGTGCGTGGGTTCTCTGAACCACAGCTTCCACAAAGGCACTCGGGCGTCTGACACCAGAAGGGAGCTCACTTTGGGGTGAGTCCCTCCACCTCTCTGTGCCCACAGCCCACCTCAGAGT